TCTAAAACTGCTCAGGAAAAAAACTAAATATTCAAAAAGTTAAAGCAAAAAGAGTAATAAACAACAAAAAATAAAACTGTATGTCAGAAATACAGCTATATTTAATAAATGGTACCCTTCAACCTATTAAGGAGTCTTCCCAGTGCCTATTCAGCGCTTCAGCACTAAACTAACTTATTTAACAACCTCTCATAGCCTGTCCTAAAAAAATGTACTTTTACTTCTTTTTAATTCGTAATCACATACAAACTCGATTCTTCCAGCCATAGTGCCAACATAAATTCTTTTTTTAAAACTGCATCCCAGATGATCCTCTGCATTTCCTGGCATTGGAGCTAAGAATCAAATTGATCATTACCTTATTTGTCACAAGTGAATAGTTTTTAATTTACATTGCTGCACTCACACTACTCAATTTTTGCTGTAGAAGTCCTATCTCGATATTATTGTTTTAAATGCAAGAAATTCGGATCTGTTTATGAAACCAGTACAAAACATTTTCTGCCTTTCACCATCGTATGATTCAAAATTATAAAATTGCCACTTCATCATCAAAAAAAATTCATCGGTAAGCACAAATTAAGAGTAAATGTACAAAAAAGGATCATTAAATGAGCAACCACGAATTGTTCACAAAAGTATGTGGCGTCCCGTTGCTGTATAACAATATCGACAATCCTCATCCTCCTTGAAACCGCACTTCGTAACCTATGTTAAGTGAAAATTGCCTCTGGTTCTGCCTACCTTAACATTTTCTAAGTAAATAATTTTTACACTAGTACCAATCATAAGAGCTTCTTAGAAATGTTTTTATTTATTTTTTAATTAATACAAATAAAGTTTCCGAAAAAACCTTGACTTTAAGATCACGATGCCAAATCAATTACACTGAGTCCTTTAAATGTAGTTTTCTCCATTACATCCAAATAGCAGTGTTTACCGCTGCAGTTAAAAAAAAATAACACATAAGGAACTCGATAAAAAGTCCTCAATATACTTCTTTTCTTGCGCACTTGTTAGTCCGGTGTCGAACAGCTGAAAAAATAAATCAATACTCTAACCAAAACATTGTACACTAAATAGGAGAATCAAAAAAAAAATTTTTTTTGAAACGCAATAATTATGTAAAGAAAAACACGGGGAGACTGGAAGAGGTAGGACTTCTGGCAGATGAAATGCTGTATTTCTGAGATTTGAATTAATGAGGGAGAACGTAATGCATTACAAGAAGATTAAAAAATGAGAAAATACCTTCAGTCTGTTTGCTTGTCTTCTTGTGAATTTGTTTGGAAGTGCAATCCGTTACTTTTGAGTCATTTGCACATTCTGAACACAAATGCATGTTCCTGAACTTGACGTCCATTAACGCAACGCATAAACGTCCGAAATGATAAGCATCAGCAGCATCTGAGGTACTTTAAGCGTAAAAAATAAATCTCATTATCCATGGTCTGCTGATGAAAAAAGTTGCTTGTTTGAACATCGCACAAAACTCTTTAAAAATATCATGATTTTCCAGGTTATTTTTAAGACCAACGTTGGCAAGATTCCAAATCGGTTTCTCTTGATTTCAAAACTTCTTCAGCTTATCGTCTCTTCTGTTGAACTTCTGTCAACGTCGAGAGACCGATGTTCTCTACTTCATCGCACTGGCAGAAAGAAGAGCTTTCTGAGAATGATTCTTCAAAAACAACAACGTTACACAAAGCATTTTCACCAATAGTACATTCAATTACGCTGGTCAGAAGTCCATTCCGCTCCATTTTGTCGTAATAATTTTGTCAAAAAAAAATATGCGCAGAGCTGTCAGAAGTAGCTGGAGTCTTTACGAAGTGAATGTTGTGTGTGAAATTGTTCAGCAGTAAATTCCAAAGTTCAAAGATGAAAATTTTGGCAGAGAAGATGTTGGTCCTGGTAAGAGCAGAAGAATTTGCTACAAAAAAACGCTCGTCAAACAACTAGCAAACACTCTATATGACTTAATGATCACGGGTCATCAGATGCGCATAGATTAGATGGAGTGGACCTGATCTAGAAGCCTGCAGGATGAGCACATCGTCAACGTCCGGAAGCAGACAATTTATAGGAACTGAACTTTTGTTCATCTTCCCCTTAGTGAGTGGAAAAAAGATTTCTTTTATGGGATCTGATTACGAAAACAAAAAGCAATTTTATCTTGAGAATCTGAACAAAAATATACGGTGTTGCTAGGAGGGCAAAAAAACATTCTCCTGTATGAGCTTCTAGAAACTGCACGCCATTGATTTCAGGGCTGCATTTTGAACAGTTACGTCGTTCGGTAACGAAAATCTTAGAAAAACTGTCATCTAAGAGAAATAAGGAAAGAGAGTTTGCAGTATTAGACGAGTTAAGTTCGGTTTGGCTCCACTGGTTCTAGAAACAAATGAAAGACTTGAATGGGGAATTTTTTTCCCAATCAGTTGACAGTCCAAGTGTTGTTACTTCAGACTAACACTTATTTTGGTCGATGCAAAAGAAAAATTTGTAGAGAGAGACGACCAGAGAGTAGAGGAAATATGAAAATTCCTGAACGTTTTTTTGAATATCAGTCGGGACGTCTCCATTCCAATGAAGTTAAAAATCTGCTTGACAGCTGCCAAAAGGCCATCTGCAGTAAGGGAAGACTGGATTGAAATACGATCGTTTGCGTCAGTTTAACTTTGGAAAGCCAAAACTTTTTTCTTACTATTGTCTTTTGAGGTTCTATTCGTGTACACAGCTTCCAGTGTGTCTATAAGTTTTTTTTTTTTGTAAAGTGACAGTATAAGCTAAACCATTCTGGATTTTTGTATGAAACCTAGACCGGTTCTAGAAGCTCCCCGTATACTCGCTTTGTTCATCGTCAGACACGATGATACTGGTCAGATAGCCCGGAAAAAGCCATTTTATAACTTCAATACCACTGAGGGAGATGTTAAGCGTTCTTTTGGCTAAAACTTACTCATCTGTAGCTTTCATTTAAAGCTGAAAACAATTCTGGACCATTTTTCTTATTTGCGATTTGCTCATTCTCCAGATTGCTGTTTCACTTCTCAATGTATTACAGAATGAGCCATTTAACGGTGCCTATAACGTTAAGTGATGACATAACATTTTCAGCTGCAAATCCACGCCTAGTTGGAATTCCTGCAGTTTTTGAGTGTACAAAGATCACATTCTCCTAAAAAGGTGTCCAATTTAAGTGTTGGAGATCTAAAAAGGAGGGGATGGAATAAGAAGTGAAACCCCTCTGTCCAAGTGAAAAGAAATTGGTTTAACACATGCGAAAAAAAAGCTTCCAATACAATATTAATGACAGGAATTAAAGATTAAATCTCTGCCATCAGGACCTAACAAGATTGGCAGTAATATTTCGTTGGTAGTTGCCTTATCCATGCATTAAAACTGCATCATGCTTGGTGTTGTTTCTCAATAATACGCCAAACTCCTACTTTA